AAATATATATATATATATATATATATATATATATATATATATATATATTTTTTAAAGCCAATTAAATAGTACTTTTAAAAAAAGCTTGTTACAAAACATGTCTATATTTTTAGTTACACCCCTAAATAAAATAAGTATTTTAAAAATACAATGATTACATTGGCATTCATGTAGAAACTAATAAGGGAATAAGAGAGAAATTAAAACATTTGATAATCAGTACTCCCACCCTGCCATTTAACTCTTGAGTAGGAATGGTGTTTTAATAGAAAGAAATATTAATACATCAGAAAACTGAAAATTAAAAGTACAGAATGGAAGTATCTATAAATGAATTGAACTGTATATATTTACAAGGGAATTAAAAAGGAGAGCAAAGCCTCTTGCATAACTTACCAACATAAAATGAGCAGTTGGAATGCAATACACTTTCAGTCCATAAGCGACAAAGTTCACTTTCAGTCAGAGCTTCAACTCCATAACAAGCTTGATATTCCACTTTTGGTAGTACGTAAACTGGAAATTGCTGCAATCCAAGGTTATACTCTTATAAAGCTCCATTAATTTACTATTAACAGTAAATACATTTGCCTATATAATTTTGCCACTTTCAAAACGCTTTCAGGTAACCTTATTTCATCCTTTCAAATACAGTAGGATTCAGACAGAAAGATGGATAGAACCCTTAGTAGATGTGGGCAAGTGGTGGATAAATAAGAGATCGTGAACCAGAGGCTGCCCACCCCCCACAACCAAAATCAACAGACCTCTCCACACATGCACATATTTTATTTCTGTCACAGAATGTGACTGACAGAATCCTTGGAACAAAGCCTCGGATACATAATGGCCCAAGGGTCAAAGCTAGAAGCTGGGAAGCCATTACTGTAATACACACTAATAATTCTCAAGAGGGTAAAAAAAAAGTAGGAATTTTTTGCCCCTTTAAAGCATTAGTCACATTGTCTCAGGCTTAAATACTGCGTTTTCATTCTATGAATGTATGAGCACTAACATCTACATTAATATCCGTGAATGTTGCTATCTTCATTAATACAAAAGGCTTTATTCCAGACACTAAGTACTTGGCGAATTAGCCATTTAGCGTTTATTGGTCAGGACACTAAATAGATTAAGCAAAATGACTACGCCCTCTACTAGCCTAAAGGAGGATATGTAAGGAAATACATGCTTGTAAAATAACATAGTGCTAGTCATGTTCACTGTGCTCATATTATCTCATTTCAGTCAAAGAAAATTCTAATCTTAATAGCAGTCTCTTCACTTCCAGCTGCAGAAGGAGAAACACAGGAACACTTTAAGGAACTTAAAGTGATATAACTGGTTAGTACTTTTGAAATTATACTAAGCTCTATTTCACTTTTATACCTGAAAATATTTCATAAATGTTTCAGAATTACTGATTTTCATAAAGTAGCAAATTTAGTGGGCTTATTAGCACAATGGTGGTGTTAAGAACAATTCAAATCCAGTAAAATTTCTGTTAGCAATTAACTTTGGTTCATTATTACCTTTGAATGCTGTAAAACTCTACAGCAGTGCTTCTTAAATTTCAGTGTATGTGAATAACCATTTTAAAATAAATGCAGAATCTGAGGTGAAAAACAAGGCTTTACATGTTTAACAAGTTGTTGTTCCAGGGGCCAAACTTTGAGTAGTAAGGTCCCTACAGTGTCTTCTTAATTTAAAAAAAAAAAAAAATTATGATTAGGATAATTTCATTGCTAAAAGCACTTAATTGTATAATAATTTTTCAGCAACTGGTAATCTGCATTTATGGCTGCTTATAGTTGCCAACAGAAGCCAGAGATAAAGAAATGAAGGCCCAGAGGGCTAAGATATTTGCTCAAGGAGAGATAACCAGTTTACAGCAGAGTCAGAAAAAGAATAATTGATAAAGAAGATCCCCTTTTGGATCATGAACAGGTAATAGAATTAATTCAAGATTTCTTTTCAAATTAAAAAATATTACTCTTTATGAAGAAAGTACTCTGGGGGATTTTCTTTGATAATACTGTCATATCTATAAAACTAAATCCTGAACCAGGTATTAATTTCCATATGTATTCTACTGCCATCTCCAGGAAACCAAGGGAAAGAAAATTCTGAATATTTGATCTCAGTATTCCAAAATTAAAGTGAAACTTTAAGTACAAAGTTTTCAAATTATAAAAATTAGGGCCTCCCTGGTGGTGCGGTGGTTGAGAGTCCGCCTGCTGATGCAGGGGATACGGGTTCGTGCCCCGGTCTGGGAGGATCCCACATGCCGTGGAGCGGCTGGGCCCGTGAGCCATGGCCGCTGAGCTTGCGCGTCCGGCAACGGGAGAGGCCACGACAGTGAGAGGCCCACGTATCGCAAAGAAAAAAAAAAAAAAATTAAATTTACTATTTCCTTTATCCCTTATTGGTCACTCCTATTCTAAATGAAAGCTTCTTTTGGTTCTCTGTCTTCCAATTTCTTATATAAACCTTCCAAACGTTTACATACATTCCTAAATAAATATTTCAAAGCTAGTATCCTGTCAGTAATCTCAATAGGTACATTCTGTTCTTTCCTAATATTCAAGCACCTTCAGGATCCTTTTTTTCTGGCCCAAGAATGCCAATATAAACTTTAATATAACTGGATAATAAATATATAATATATATATAATATATAATATATAATATAAATATAATATATAATATAAATATAATATATAATATAAATATAATATATAATATAAATTTTTGAGTCACTTTAGAATATAACTCTTAGGAAATTTGGTTAACTGAGACCGACGATAACATAATATTAAATCATTCAAAGGTACGTGGTCTGGATGTCATAATTGTATGTAGAACTCAGTAAGTTCTAGCTTCACCTTGTGTTCCAAATTAGCCCTCTTTATTTCATGCCATCATTTGAGACTGGCTGCTGCTTTAAGTTCTCCTGTCATGTAGCTCTTATTAAGCAGAATTTTGATGAGAAGGGATAAATGATATTGGAAAGTAAAATCTCAGGTACAATAACACAGAATTGAAGAACCAAAGGAAAAAAGAAGAGATGAGGTTCTTGCAGAGCAGAGGTTGAAGAGACTTCCGAGTATTTTAAAGCTTTACCTAAACAAGTTGGTTTTTAAGAAGGAAATGTTAACGAAGATGCATTCTTACCTAACTAGAGTTTAAACACTACCTTCAAAATTGCTCAGCTAGTGCCTCAACTTCCCTTCCTTAACAACACCCTCCTCTCTCCTCACGCCTCAGTTTTTCTCATTTATTCAATGCCTATTTATTGAGTATCTACGGAATAAAACATTTGAGAGAAACAGATGAACAGGAGATGATTCCAAAGGGAATACATTCTACAAAGGAATTTAAACCACGTGTACTAAACTATTACATATAATGATAGGTATAATATGGTAAGCATTCAATGAAAATTTTAATCCAGGTTTGACATGTCAAAAATAGAAGGCTCCTATTTAGCTAATCTTTGGGGCTTGACTTTTTTGATATATTTTGATGAAGAGTGAATTCTCTCCTGTAAGGTTTTATCTTAATATTTACAAATTTCACTTTAGTCAAGTGAATGACAATGTCCTTAACAGGTTGTCTCTTTCAACAATTAAACCAGTGTCCATAAATATCCCTAGGCTATTCTTACTTAAGACATCCTGGCCATCAATAATTTCTAAGGGCTGTAAGCTGACAGATCAATACAGAGTGGTATGGGCTCACAGAGTAGAAAATGAAAGAAACGAGGTTAGTCCCCAAATAAATCAGATAGCAAATATGAATTAATGAAATAAAACCTTGAAAATACAGTCCATAGCACTGACACTATATGTATTCAAGATATGCATGCTATGGCCATTAAATACAGATGAGACAGGAAAAAATCGGCAAATAAAGTAAAATCTTTTAATACAGGGAATATTTGTATTTATCTAGGAGGAGACTAAAATCAGACCTATAGCATTTCATCATTCCTGACATTCTCTTATAAAAAACACTCCCCCATATATTTAATTCAAAACCAGTTGGTTTCTGTAATTTCAAGTCTGAACCAGTGATGAAATACCAAATTACGAGAATTAGAAATTTAAAATTTTATTCACAGTCTTCCTTCTAAGAACAAAAGTATCATCAAGCAAAAGATCCACTAGGTCCATTGGATTTTGGTGGAAAACGTATACATCCTTTATCCTGATGGGTTAGCCTTAGAGGTTTTTCATGATAGACCCTCACACTAATGCTATTTAGCAGCTCTTTTTCTTTTCTTCTTCTTTTCAAATTTTTTTTCCAGTTATACCTTAATATGGTAAAGTAGTAGTCAGGGACTTGATCCATAAGGGTCAATGCTGGAACATCACTGTTCCTCAGTCACCTGTTTCCTAATCCAAAACACTGACATTCTAAGTGGTCACTGAGGATTCTTATTGGGTGGTAGGTTAAATAGCAAGAAACAGAGACATCAAAAAAGGAAGGAATGGGGCTTCCCTGGTGGCACAGTGGTTGAGAGTCCGCCTGCCGATGCAGTGGACACGGGTTCGTGCCCCGGCCT